AATGTTTTGTCCAAAGACCGGACATTAGTCTTGTCAATGCAAGTAGTTTTAGAACCAAACCATGGCTTAAAATAACTGCAATTCCTTCAATCGACACGGTGGGTACGCCATTAATTACGATGCCAACAGCACGAGAAAGACGAAAGGCAAGTTTTCAACAAACTCGGTAATGACTTTGTATCACTTTAGCCGTGAAATCCCTCCTATAGAATATTTGTCAAAACATCATTACTTTTATTTTAGATACTTYGCAATATTTCTGTGAAAGACCAAATAGTGAATAGTCTAGCTTCCGTTAAACAGCCAACTGAAGAAACCAATCCTTCAACCTCAAATCCTGACGAATTTCCGAAGATGGATTCTATCGAGCCCGAAGAATCTACTAATAACTTAAACGATATAAATTTTGTATGCCCGACATGTAAAGAGTCAAAAGCTAGTTTAAATCGYTTACAAGGAACTTTTAGAAAAGCCAAAGYAAGGAATGCCCAAATGAAACTGGMAGTTCGTGCTCTTAGACGTCAAAACAGACAACTTCAACAGGTAAAAATCATAGATATAGATAAAAACAGTTAAACTATATTACCTAGTGTAGGCAAAAGCAAATGTAACTTACCCTTGACAGGATATTCGAGTATGCACCGAGTTAGAAGACGAATGCTCCAAGGAAGACGCTCAATCTGAGAGCGAGAGCGAACTAGAAGAACTAAGACACAGTTCAGAAGATGAAGGGAGTTACTGTGATAATGAAGATCCAGAAGATCCAGATTGGGATGTGTTGGAAAATGAAGCAGCAGAAAATGAATCATCGGCATGGAATGATGAGGACCAAAATCCCAGTTCCCGAAATAACATAAGGTAGTTATGGAAAATAATGATAATTAGGGACTGGTCATTATTTATAGGGGAGGTGGGGGAGGCTGGTGCACTTTGATATTTGTTCCCWAAAATGTTCATCTGCCTATCTATGCCCCATCCTTTGTGGAGCATAAAAATTCCTAGCCTCCTTTGTTTGCAACCCCTCCCTATAAATGACTCTCTGACAGGTCCATTATCCTTGTCAAAAATCTTAATAGTGGAGGATATGCTTGTGATACAAGTGTTAGCTATATTTTTTCTTCTTTCTAGGGTGGACCCTGAAACTTCACATGAAAGTGAACCAAAATTCATTGTGTTCTACAGTGCTTTATTGACACTATTCTCCCTATTTTGTTTCAAATGCAAGGAAAGCAATCCCAAAGTTACGATGGATAAAAATGGGACRATGGKTACTGTAAGCCAGCATTGTCAAAATTGCACAGGAAACCCTTTTAAATGGAGGAGCCAGCCATTTGTACTGGGTAAATACCCAGCAGGGAATATACTTCTGAGTTTTGCTGTACTAATGGCTGGTGCCTCCATCAGCAAGATTCTTCTTGTATTTAAACATATGGGACTGTCAGTCTATGGAGCTAGGACTTACTTTTATCATCAAAACTGGTTTCTCTTTCCAGTGATATTACATCATTGGAAGGTGTATACAACCAACATGTTGGAAGGGTTAAAGTCATGGAACTGTCTCTCTTGGTGTGGTGATGGCAGATTTGATTCTATGGGTCACTCGGCAAAGTTTGGGGTGTACACCATGTTTTGTTCATCCATCAAAAAAATTGTTCACTTTGAATTGATACAGGTATGGYGTAATAGTGCTATATTTTCATGTTTCTTTCGCAGCTAATTTATGATAATTAATATTACAAAGAGTGTAGAACTATCCAACAGATAAGTAAGTATCCAACTACTTACCAACACATACTCATTCAGCCTTTATACAACCAGGCTCTGGTCTAAAATTTGCCATAAAAAATCAAGGGGTTGGGGATATACCTTTTTTGGTGAGAATTTAAAGGGTACAAACAAAATGGCTTTTCTTCAAATTTGTGTGTCCCTTTGAAAAATGCTAGCTATACATATTTCAGTATTTTCAGTGAACACACAGTGTTTATCAAATTATTTTCATTATTTAATATTTTTATAATGGTACAAAAATTAAAAATTAAAATTAAAATGAATATGCATGTAGTATTATAAATTATCCAGTTTTTACCCTTTGATATCTTAACTGTTTTGAAGGCTAATGAAACAGAAAACAGCAATGCTATGGAGTTGGAAGGGGCGAAAAGATGCTTCAAATTTTTGTTGCCTAAGGTAAAAATATCCAAATTTATTTCTGACCGTCATCGTGGGATAGCCAGCTGGATCAGAACCTCTCATCAAGGAGTAAGGCATTTCTTTGACATATGGCACATCGCAAAGGCACTTACAAAGAAAATGGTTAAAGCAAGTAAAGAAAAAGGATGTGAGATAATAAGCCAGTGGATAAAAGCAGTTCGCAATCATGTCTATTGGTGTGCTACTTCAACAAATGAAGGATTCCAACAGCTTATTCTAGCCAAGTGGCAGTCTTTCATGAGACATGTGTCAAATAGGCATGACAAACATCCTGATCCCTTGTACACTAAGTGTGACCATGGCAGGTTGGAACCAYGCAAATGGCTAAAAGAAGGTTTGTTATCATTATCAAGACATCCTGCTACGTAAATAATATTCATGCTTGGGGGTCAGTATAATTAATTGTCAGATTGATTACAGTAATTGTTAATTTCATTCCCATAGGTACCCGTGAATATGTTAAACTCCATGAAATACTCAACAAAACAAGAATGTTAAATGATATCAAAATGCTTTCCTCTGATGCACAAACTAGTTGCTTGGAGGGGTTCCACTCCACATTAAATCAATGGCATCCCAAGATGATTTGTTTCTCTTGGCTTGGAACATATTGCAGGTAAAATTTTGATACCATGATATATATGTAAATTGTATACACCTACTTGCAAGAACGTTGTCATATGAAAATTAGTAATTTACAACATTAGTGATTTAGTGGGTTAGGAAAAATATTATATTAAAAAAACAAAAGAAGATCACTGAAGCTAAACTTTTTCTTTTGTCTTTTAATGTATTCCTTTTTCACTAAATTACTAATGTTCTATTCCTGTATGACAACCTCCTGGCAGTTAGGTGTATATGTATTAGAAACATTGTGTCATTCTGCCTTACAGGGTGMTGGTACTTGGAGAGCRGGACAGTTCACAGTAGGGATGGGTGGTCGTTTCTTTAAAAAAATGCTAATATAAAAATGGGGGATTTATTACAACATTATAAAATGGGGCCAATACAGCATTTTTTTGGTTGGGACAATTCTGAAGAAACAACATTTTTTTACTTACCAAGTATTTTCTTCTTTAAATATGTAGACATATACTTGCAAGTTTGCACTTTAACGAAAACCTCAATAGGATGACCAAAGTGTCAAAGGATGGCAAAAGATACACCAATATTACTTACCCGAAGTACAAAATGGGTGAGGAAGTTGTGCGTGACATAGCTGTGGAGCCAACATATGGTGAGCTACACATATACTATGATTACAAAATGATACAAATAGCAAATAACTTGATTTACTTTGTATCTGACATTGAATGGTTGTTAAATTATCAATTCTAGATTATGTGGAAAACATGAAAAAAATACTGTTCAGTTCAT